AGCTTTGAGAAATCCTTGAGAATCTTTTGCTTAAAAGGGTTTTGAAAAATTGGAAATCAAAGCAGAAGAGCTGATTCTGGGCACACTGTGGGTTGAATTACATGGCAAGTGAGATCATGAGCTTTTTTGAAGGATGGCCCCCTCTGATGCCAGTATCCTCTGGTATGTCATGAGGGTCCTTACCTCAAAAACGATGCTCTCCCCTATCAGTGTGTGCCTTGACATGGCTTGGTTTTTCTGTCTGTATATTTACCTCTTCTGTGTCCCTGTGTCTGTCCCTCTCCCATTTCCCCACTCTCTTTTTTCCTAGTAGGTGGTATAGCATGAAAGAGAACAGGCTGACATCAGACAGATGGGTTCCCAAGTCCCTACTATGAAGCTGTGGCACTAATTTAGACAAGATGCTTAGCTCCTTTTAGCCTGTTTCCTTATTTCTACAGTGGTGATACCCAGTGGTGGGGGGTGCGGCTGAATTAGAGACTAGATACGGAAAGCACCTAGCACAGTGCCTAGCGCATAAGAGCTCATTAGTGGTGGCTATGTTATTCTCTCTCTCTTCTGCCTTTTTTCTTAAATTCATTTCTTAAATTCATGCTTCCTCTTGCTCTCCTAACTTCCCAAACTACAGAGGTGAAGCCATAGTGTTTTTAAAAAAAACTTTCCTTTTTTTAATACTTAAAGTACAGAAGTGGATAAACATCAGAATTCTTTGATCGCAGATGTCAAACCCCTGGCTTAAAAAGTAAAGAGAAACTTCTCTAAAAACTAAAGTCTGTTAAACAAAACAGTAAAGGGAATCTTTTGGTTCATATAACTGAGTAGTCTAGAGGTAAGCCTGGTATACGTGAAGCTTTATCCAGTGATTCAACGTCATCAGGATCTAGGCCTGTCTCTGCGCTGGCATTCAAAGTGTCAGATTTCACAGATAGCCCTCTGACAACCTCAGGCTCTCCCGTCATAGCCAGATGGACACTCCAGCTCCAAACTATATGTATGTGTTGTCTGTAGTTTATTTTTGCTTTATCGTACCTCAAATGCAAAGCAATGCATTAATCAGGGGGCCTCAATTCATAGCACGTGGTCATCATCACTTAGTACAAGAACTCATTCCCTCACTTTATTATAAATTCAGTTTCTCCTTCCTTCCTTAGTCCCCAGTCTCCTGTGTTTAATAGGGGCCCACTTGATATGTGCCCTTTGCCATCCATGTATACTTCTAAAACAGTGTTATTTCATGTGTGTACATATTTACTTCATACAAATGGTCTGGGGCTATAAACCGTGCTGTTTCCTACTTTTCTAACTTTTCTTAGATTTGTCTGTGTTGCTATGTGGACATCCTGTGTGTTGCTTATCGCTGCATAGTATTCCACACTATATATCGACCACAGTTTACATATCTCTTTCTCTGGAGGTAGACACCTAGATTACCTCCAATTTCTTATTACCGCAAGAAAGGCTATGGGTCGTCTTCTGCGAGTTGCCTTTTCATCTCTGCTCATTATTCAATTGCATTTAATCTTTTTGTTGTAGATAATAATCTCTTAGCAGTTTTGGATGTTTTTGATATTTTTGTCTGTAACCTCTTTTAACTTTGTCGATGACATCCTATATTGAACAGAAAATCTTAATTTTTAATAGTCAAATTGATCCATTTGTCTATATGTATGTGTTGAGGGGTTTGTTAGGAGATATTTCCCTCCCCCTGGGTCACAAAGATATCCTCCTACACTTCTGTTAACTTTATAGTTTTAAATTTTATCTATAAAGGATTTCTGGGTACTTTACAATTGTTGCTTTTATGAATGGTATGCTATTATCCATTATATACTCTAATGGTGTTTACTGGTATCAAGGAATGCTACTGATTTCTGAAAGTTGAGTTTGTGTTCAACAACTTTGCTAAACTCTCTTATTCAAATAACTCATTTGATTATTTTATTAGCTTTTCAATGGAGATGATCATATAATCTACAAAAAATGACAGGGGTGCCTGGCTGGCTCAGTCAGAAGAGTGTACGACTCTTGATCTTGGGGTTGTGAGTTCAAGCCCCATATTGGATGTAGAGATTGCTCAAATAAGTAAATAAATAAACTAAAAAAAAAAAATGACAGTATAATCTCCCATCCCAATTCTTTTACTTTTGTCTTATCTTAGAGCATTCAAATGGTCCTTTAATACAGTATTAAACAGTAGTGGTGAAAGCAACATCTTTGTTCCTTATCTCAATTTTCTCCATTAAGTGTGGTGTTTATTCTAGATTTTTGGTATGTAGTTTTTATGAAGTTAAAAAGGTTCTATTCCTAATTTTCTGGGACTGTTGATCGTAAGTATGAGTTGGATTATATCAGGTGCTTTCCCTATAACACCAAGAACATGATCAACACCTCCAGAAAATTTCTTAGAAATGTATTCATAATTCTTATAATCTTTGATGTATCTTTGTTTTCCTCTTTCATTCTTGGTTTTGTTTATATGCATCACTCCCTTTTTCTTCTTCAGTCTTGCCAGTCTTATTCAACCTTCAGTCTTACTAATTTTTCAAGGAGCCATGAATTTTATTGGGTACGTAAATGTTCATTGTGGTTATATTTTTTGATCTAGTTTTTTCCACCAATATTTAATGTCCCTCATTTTTCGTTATGATGTGTTTTGCCCTAATGTTGTTTGCTATCCCAGGTATCTATATTCTGAATAATATTCCACTGTATGAATATATCATTTTTTATTTATCCATTTATCAGGCCGTTTGCACATTTTGGATAGTATGAATAATGCTGCTATGAACATTTTTGTACCGTAGTCCCCCCTTATCCAAGTGGTATATGTTCCAAGACCCCCAGGGGACGCCTGAAACCATGGAGAGTACTGAACCCTATATATGTTTTTTCCTATTCATACATACCGATGATAAAGGTTAATTTATAAATTAGGCACAATAAGAGATTATCAATAATAACTAATAATAAAATAGAACAATTATAACAATATACTGTAATAGAAGTTATGTGAATGTGGTCTCTTTCTCTCAAAAATAGTATATTGTACTGACCCTTCTTGTGATGATATGAAACAATAAAATGCCTACATGATGAGATGAAGTGAGGTGAATGACACAGGCGTTAGAATGTAGCGTTAGGCTACTACCCACCTTCTGACCACGCCAAAAGGGAGATCATCTGCTTCCAGACCATGGCTGACCATGGGTAACCGACATTGCAGATCAGGGGGACTACTGTACAAGTTTTTGTGTGGATGTATGTTTTCACTTCTCTTAGGTATGTACCTAGGTGTGGAACTGCTGGGTCATATGGAAACTCTCTGTTCAACTTTTTGAGGAACCACAAAACTGTTTCCCACAGTAGCTGAAACATTTTGCCTTTCTGCTAGCAATATAGAAGAGCTTAAATTTCTCTGCGTCCTTGCGAACACTTGTCATTTTCCATTTTTTGATGAGAGCTATTGCAGTAGGTATAAAGTGATACTCATTCTTTTAATTTGCATTTCCCTAATGACTCATGGTGTTGAGTATCTTTTCATGTGCTTACTAAGTACTTAGTATATTAGTATAATTATAGTAGATACTAAGTATACTAAGTGTAAAAGTACTTCTTCAAGGAGAGTTTCCAAAGAGACTTTGTGCTGTAACCTTTCGAAGGCCTTGCAAGTCTGAACTTATCATTTTTACATCCTCACATTTATAGAATAGTTTAGCTGGATATAATATTCTAAGTTATTTTCCTTCATCACTTAGAAGATATGGCTTGATTGCTTTTTTATCTCCAGTGTTTGTTAGAAAAACTAATGTCAATCAAATTCTTACTCTTTTGTGGACTAACTGCTCCTTCTCTCTAGCTTTTAGAATTTTGTTTTTGCCTTTGATGTTCTTAAATTTCACTATAATGTGTCAAAGTTTTGTTTTGCCATATTTATTCTGTTTGGTGCTCCATGAGACCTATGTATTGGAATCTTTTTTATCTTTAATTTTTTAAGTTCTTATGATTTCTGTAAATATTCTCTTTCCTAAATCCATTTTCTCTCTTTCTGGGACACATATTATACAGATATTTACATTATCATCATCATCATCATCATTATCATCTCTTAAATGTTCTTTCATACTCTCCATCTTTTTCCAGTACCTTCTGGGAAAATTCCTTGAGCTGATCTGGATCATTATTCATTTTTCAGCTATGTAGCCATTCTTGCTTTTATCTAATCTATTGGGTTTATTCACTATTACATATATAGTACCCAGTATTTCCATTTGGTTCTTTATAGCTGCTTATTTGTTAAAATTGTCCTTCTATCTTGGGAAAGATCTTTATTATGCTTATTTTAAGTTCCTGATTTGCCTTGTTCCATTCTGGTTTATCTAGTACAGTTTGTTCCAGTTACTGTCTCTTTTGGTGTGACTCCACTCCTCAAATATCTGATTATTTTCACTTGTGAGCTTGTTTTTTCCAGGGTTTATGAACAGCTTTCTTAGCTGGGGATGTCTACTAAGGGGAGAGGCCAAGGTGGGGCCCTAGAATGTGCTTTTAAGAACCAGGCTGGGAGCCTCAGAGGGCATTTCCCAGAGCCAAGTCCCAGGCACCAGAGTCAGATCTTGACCCAAACTGTGGGTCCAGTCTTGTGGTTATTGTTTTCTGCTAACTTGCTCAGAGTGGCTTATTTCTGTATGTTTGGTGATTTTTTTTATTATATATCTCTGCACTTTGTAACTTCAGCTATGGGCATTCTTTGAGGCCTAGATTTAAAGTATGTCCCTCTAAAGAGTATTTGAGTTCGCTTTTTCCAGGCTCCTTAGGAACATTATCAACCCACGACCACGTCAAACTAAATGTTAGCTTAAGGATTTCAGGGCCTTAGAGACAGGATGAATTTCAACCACAAATGCATGTGACCGGTTACTGCTGGTGGTTAGGAACTCTCACAGAAGGTTCTCCACCGTGCTATCCCACCCTGAGCTGAGATTAAAACAGAAAGGTCTTGGGGCGCCTGGCTGGCTCAGTCGGTAGAGCATGTGACTCTCAATCTCACGGTTGTGAGTTCGAGCCCCATGTTGGGTGGGTGGAGAGATTTTTTTAAAAGATAAAATCTTTTTTTTTTTTTTTTATTCTTATGTTAATCCCCAAACATTACATCATTAGTTCTAGATGAAGTGTTCCATGATTCATTGTTCGTGCACAACACCCAGTGCTCCATGCAGAACGTGCCCTCCTCAACACCCACCACCAGGCCAACCCATCCCCCCACCCTTCTCCCCTCTAGAACCCTCAGTTTGTTTTTCAGAGTCCATCTTCTCTCATGGTTCGTCCACCCCTCCGATTAAAAGATAAAATCTTGAAAAGAAAAAAAAAATGGAAAATTCTCTTCTTAGTGAGGTTCAGGGATATTTTTTTCATTCCCACCAATGAGGTCAATTTTGGGGGTTCCATCATTTTGTAAGAGTTTTTTAATAATTTTTTAAAAAGATTTTATTTATTTATTTGAGAGAGAGAGAGAGCAGGAGCAGGGGGAGGGGTTAGGGGAGGGGCAGGCTCCCCACTGAGCAGGGAGCCCAATGAGGGACTCCATCCCAGGACCCTGGGATCATGACCTGAGCCAAATGCTTAACCGACTGAGCCACCCAGGTGCCCCAATTTTGTAAGAGTTTTTGATCTGTCCTCCCCCCATGCAGGTCTGAGGCTTTCTTTCCTTCTGACGGCCTACGGCAAATTGAAATCCAGACTCTAGGCCACCAGGGATCGACATATCTCTTCAGGGCAAATGTTGCTGTCAGTGCTCACTTTCCTATTCCTCCTCCTTTGTCACCTCTGGCTATTCTGGCTCTTTTACTGTCAGCTCTGTCATGCTTTGAAAAAGTGGTTTTTTGTGTGTTTGTTAAAATCCCACCCAGCGCTTACGGTGTTTTATATTGAGAGACATCTCTGCACATCTCATCTTTCATAATGTCAAAAACAAAAGTCCTATATATATTTTGTATAAAGTAGTTTATATGTAAATACATAATATGTACATATTAATATTTAATACAAAATTATAATACATATGCTATTTAGTATTCAATTCTATATTAACTGTACATCCACAGTCCGGGTCATAAGTCAGACGACTGATTGTCATCTGCAGTGCACCAGGGTGTCCTGATGAAAGGACAGGCGTTCCATGAGGAGGAGGGGTTGACAGTGGTAACTTCATTTACTAAAATAGGACTCTTTCTGTGTCAGTTTCACCAGAAACCCCAAAGGCTGAGAACCAAACAATAGGCACCAAGTCTGTCCTCGTTCTAAAGGGAGGAGGAGCTGGTCGCCTCTGAGGTGCAGGCTGAGAGATTGTGAAATGGATCCTGGGGCGCACTAGCTCGATACTGGGAAGGATGAGCTTGGCATCCGGCCCCGGCGAGGTCACAGAATGTGAGAGGATTTCTGTGGACGTAGTTGGCAGGATGCTGGATGTTTCCCCGTCTCCCCAAGCAGGAGAGGGTGGGGGCGCTTCCTCTCTGCCTCATGCCAAAGGAGGGGGCACTTCAAGAGGACCATTGGAAGAGCCTGACACATCCTGTGGAGTTTGAGGGACACGGGGACCGGTGTCTGACTCCCTCCTAAAAACCTACAGACACACTGTCGGGCAGCTAGCTCCTTGAGAAGACAGAAGAGGAGAGAAGGCTGCGTTCGGAATGGCTTGCATGCCCAAAGCTCCTGAGTTCTGTGGGCCTCATGTGGTTCTCAAGAAAGGGAGCCAGGTTTGGTCATTTTAAGAAGGAATCCAGCTGAAGGAAATCTCTGGAGGGTTGAGATGACCTCAGTGGCAGGGAGGCTGGGGTAGGAATCCTAAGGAACTAGAGAAGGCACGACCTACAGGGGAACTTCGGGTGAGAGATCCCCAGGATGGACAGAGTCTTGAGAACCCATGAGAAAGCAACCCTGGAATCTGCCCCTCCCAGAGGACACCAGCACCAGATTACCCCTCTGCCCGAGTAAGGACAGCAGGCCCAGAACTGCAGCCGCTGGGAAGAGGTAGTGTGTGAGAATTCCGAATGACGCTGACCATGACCCCCATTCTCCCTCCGATCGCCAGGCTGGGGAAGGGGAGAAGTGTGAAATTAACTGGCATTTGAAGTTGTAATAGATGACTGGAGGGGACTTGTCAGCGCCCAGGAAAAGAGACTATTTCTGAAATGAGGAGGAGGAGGAGGAGAACTCTTCAACCTGCTTGTTACTTCACAGAGACTGGAAAAGCCAGAGATTTCATCCGGGCAGAAGGAAAAACAAAGCATCCCCAGCGGGTTTGTAGGGGCACTCGCGAGAACATAAAGCCGCTTGCTAGTTACCCCTGCAAGTCTAGCTCGTTCCACAAACCGGTTGCATTTGAGGAGCGAAGAGCAGATCAGGGAGACGGAGAGGTTGCCCGTGTCCTCCACCCCTCACTGCTCATTTTTCAGCCCACGGCTGTCTCAGCCGACAACGCGGCGAAGTTCTATTGGGTGAAGTTTCGAGTTTTAAGTTACACGGATTGGACTTTTTTAAAAACCAAAGATAAAAGGCTAATCGTCCTGCTCTCTCTTGGATTAGCTGTGTGAACCACCCACAATTTCATGCTGGCGAGGAAGAATTCAGCCAGGAGGTTCTCCAGCCGAGCCGAGAGGAATAAATTGTTGCTCTCTGCCTGCGTCTAGCAAGTCAGCTTGCTTGTTACTAGTCACATTTCCTTCCGAGTATTATAATGTACTGTAGTTTATATGCTACAGGAGGTTGTCGGTTACATTAATTTGATTAAAAGTAATACCTTTATAGAAGGAACTACTATGTAATGCAAAGTAGCCATGAAAATCCTGTAAACAACCAAGAGAGGGAGCGATTATCTTGTTGCAAAGTATTTACAAGAGTTGTCAAACTTAAAAATTAATGGCTATTTTTCTTTTACAAAAGAGGCAAGTGTTTCTTAATTGCTCTCCTTTTCTGTGATGACGAGAGGCTATCAGGAGGTTAGGATGCTGCTGTGGGGTCCACAGTCTGGTCTTTGTCAGCCAGCGTTCATTCCCACAAGCGTCTGAGCTACTCTATCTCTCCGTGGTACAGGGACCGGAATTCTGGAAACGACATCTCCCAAACTCCTTTGCCTTCAAGGTTCTGGGTGCGCTTTCTTTCTGCCAGTGTATGCATGTGAGATTTTGTAGGTGGGAGGGAAAAGTGGTATTATTTGTTTCTCTGGCAGCACCTACCAAAATGGGTAGGTCACAGTAGACTTCAAGTTCTGCCCTAGGCTCTAGGTGATCTGTGAGCCCCCACCTCGGTCCTTGGCGCAGCTCTGATCAGCAGTGGGGGTTCCCTGCATTTTTCTGACCTGGGTGACAGCTCCAACCTCCTAGTAACTGCTTAGAACTGCTGAAACTTGGTGGCAACTTCCCCAAACTCCTCCAGTCCTTCTAAACGTGCCCTAAGCATCTCAATGCCCTGTTTGCTTGGAAGGCATGCAGTGGGTTCTCTTTTGCTGACTGACCCCTGAGGGTCACAGCACCTACCTAGCTGGTATTGTGAAAGAAATGAACATGCTTAATGGGTCCCTTTTAAGTTAAGAGTAATTTTTTAAAGCTACAAATGAAACATTAACTGCCCTTTTTAAAAGAAACTCGTGCTATGAAGAGAGAAATTTGAAAATCGGTCTTTAGAAATATTTATCACTATGTGATTCTGTTGCCCAAAATAATGTGTTAAACCAACATTTTCAAAATACTGAAACGTACTGAATTACATTGTTTTCAATAAAATAAACAACAATCTTTCTTTACTGAGAGAAATTAGGACTTTTTTTTTTTACCGTTAGTGAATAAAATAAAGATATTTTCCAAATATTGTATGTTTTGTTTTTAAAAACAGCCTTTTAATTCTATTTTGTGCATATTTTTAACGTATGTACTACATTGATTCAGTAGTACATGAATATAGTTTAAAAATAAATGCAGGGACGCCTGGGTGGCTCAGTTGTTGGGCGTCTGCCTTCGGCTCGGGTCATGATCCCAGGGTCCTGGGATCGAGTCCCATGTCGGGCTCCTTGCTTGGTGGGGAGCCTGCTTCTCCCTCTCCCTCTGCTGCTCCCCCTGCTTGTGCGCTCTCTCTCTCTGACAAATAAATAAAAATCTTAAAAAAAAATGCAAACACTTATGGGGGAGGCATAAGACTTTTACCGCGATGGACACACAATCAAAAAAGTTTAGAGGGGCACCTGGCTGGCTCAGTCAGTGAGCTCAAGCCCCATGTTGGGTGTAGAGTTTAAATAAGTAAATAATAAAATTACCCTCATTAAAAAATGAGAAATCACCGCTTTCGGACACACATCTATAGTATCACAACTGATGGAAACCAGTGCCCATGCATGTATATTCTCCCAGATACACCCTCTTTCATTAGTCCTGGCTCTTTCCCACCAAAAACTCCCCCAGATTCCCAGGTGACTGGCCAGGTAGCCAAGTCACTGCTGTAGTTGCAGAGTTAAGATTGAACCCTCTGGGTCTGTTCCTGCAGTTTCACTGGGCATAGAAAACTTGTCCCAGAACTCCTCCTCGTCCCTCACAGAGCCTGAAGGACAGAATGGTGGCCTCATGATGGTTGGAGAATGGAGGTTGGGTCTCTCTACTTAAAAGTACGGGCACTGTCCCACCCAACACGTGCACACACACACACAAGCTCAAGATGCTGGATCCCTCACATCAGTTGGATCTCTGCTCAAAATGTCACCAAATCATTAAGGACATCGCTGAACATCTATTAAACAGCAGGTTGCAATCCGCTGCCCCCATCTTTACTTTTCTCCATAGCACTCACCACCGGTTGATAAATTTGATGTTTGATTTGATTACTGTCTGTCTTTCTAGAATGGAAACTACGTATTCTGCTTGCTTTTGCTTCCCTAGCATCTAGAAGAGTGCTTGACTCATGGCAGATGCTCAATAAAAATTCACTGAGTGATCAAATAGTTGCTTTCCTAGCCACCCTTGACCAAAAACATAGGAACACGGCCCAGCCTGTAAAGTGCTCTGGGACATCATCGTTCACACACTTGCAATCCT